ATGGTGATAACATATCTTGAAGAATTATTCTGAGTTTGCAAGTGATTTGGAATGAAAAGTGTGACATTACTATCAGTATGCTGTCATGAAGTAAAGAATTTTTTCTCAGGAAAAGTCTATAAAATTATTTTATTAAAAAATAGATCTGGAATAATAGGAGTTTACAAAATCTATACAAATCAAGTTTTACAATGTGGCTGACACAGGGTTTACTGGGAATGGGGGGTTAACAAGTGCATAAAAATTTCCTTAGTGACCCCTATGTTCCATATATATGCAGACTTAATTTTTACTGTATTTGAAAGAATGATCTCACACCTTTCAGTGATGGACATTATTGGTTTGATGCCATTTATTCTCCTTAGATTGAATGTAAACATCCAGCTTTAATGATTTAAACAAAGCTAGGGCTTGTGCCCCTGTTGTCTGTGGCTGGATTGCATCTGGAGTCAGCACTGAGCAGAGCTGCTGTTGGCCTCTCCCAGGTGACTCCTTACCTTGAGAGAATATTCTCCAGCTCAGCTGTCCTCACTGCACCTGGGCTGGCTGCAGTAAGAGGCAGCAGGTTTGCTTTGCGCGTTGGGGAAGGATTATCTTGTGTTTAACACACAGACACCTAAGAGAGGAGAGATTTCTGTTTTAAAATAGCAGAGCACCTTAGGGTACATGTCGTGGGTTTCTATATATTCCCTGGATTTGCTGGAAGGAGCACACACGGGAGCTCTTTGCCAACATGTAGTTTTACACGTCTCCCAGTGAACTCGGATTGCTGCGCACAGCCTCGCGCTTGGGGACTGCAGAGAGAGTTGTGATATTTTCTGGGGAATCTGGATTGGATCAGATTTCTCAAGTCATATGGGGCCTTGCTAGGCCTCGTTATAAATATGACTTATAAATTGTCATTGAGGAAAATGTTGAATCTACTGCCTCCTACCCTTCTCTTTTTAGAAGTGTGTCTTGAAGGTTCTTCTCAGTGCAGTTTTTGGAGTGTTTGGGAGGACTGTAATAACACAAAATGTGTATCAAGTGTGGGAAAGGGATGGACAAGGTATTTTTTTGTATCCTTGAGCAATTTACCCATGTAGAGGGGCACTGTTCCATGAGTTGGGATTTACAGGTCTTGGAAGGCTTAAAAAGCAACATTTGCAGCCTACAAGGGAGTGAGCAAGTTACTGTGACAGTGTAAAAACATTGTGAGCCCAAGGGTTGGATGATGGCCTTTCCATGAGGGTGTGCTCCTGTCTGAAAGAGCAAGAAAGACAGTCTTGTCTTGAGGATGCTCCTTGTCTCCCAGGAACTGGAGTCCTCAAAGCAAGCTGCTTATATAAAGTGGTATAATCATCACTATGTTTATAAAAACAGCAAATGCTGACCAAACTGCAAATTTTCTGTCATTTAACCAGTCAGACATTTTATTTTCTCTTTCTCTAACTGTTGGGTTACTACCACATTAGCTGTTATTGCTTGACATCAAATTTAATAGCATAGTTTGTATTTTTAACTGCTATTTCTCATTATGATGGCTCTCTATCCTCTCCTTTCCTCATAGAAAACACAACAGAGAAGTGTAAGAAATTCTGTCAGAACTACCCCATTTCTTTTCTGAGAAAGTATGTATTATTTTTAGTGCCATTTAAACTCTTCTTCCCCTTCTTTTCTTATTTTTAAGAGACATAATGATGCTCTTTTGCCCTTTCCCAGCTGTCTGTAGTATTTAAAAAAAATAGTTCAAGAGGACATTGCAGACTTGTTAAATCTGAATTTTGGCAGAAAATTTTAAACTTTTGCTATAGCACTTCAAAGTTAGAAGGAACTAGAGTTTGAAAATTGATGCAGATATAAGATGGCATATTTAATGACAGATGTATCTATAGAAACCTGTTAAGATGCAGATTATCCCCCTGGGGAGGGGAGATCAAAACTGCCAATCTATAAAATATACTTGTTAGGGGAAGGCATGGAATCTATCTCTGCGAGCACTTTGATTGCAGGGGACAGTGTAGCAGCATGTGGCATCATAACCTAAGAGCAGACAAATCAGCTTGATGACTTTCAAAGCCAAGAATACTGCTGGAGGCAAGGGTACTCCAGTCTAGAAGAAATTAAAACATATAGAGACTGTTATTAATTCCAGATCTATTTTTGTGTAGTCAAATCTGTATGCAAATCCTTAGCATCTCATTTTGGCAGATTAATCTAAAAGTGAAGAGCGGTATGTGAAGGGAATGTAATGATAAAACACCAGAGATGAGCAATATTGCAGGGGAAAAGATGTAAGCTGTGTACTTGATGTGAGGGGCCCTTTGTGAAGAGAAGGAAATAATTTTACTTATTTTATTACTTTATGAGGAAACAACACTCGTCTTTCTCTTCTTCCTTCACATCTTTCCTCCCAAATTAAGGTGCCCTTTCAGCATGGAAATGTATGACCCAAAATTGTGTTTCAAATGTGTCTCCTGTAGTTTAACATTCTGGAGGTAATAATCCAAATCACTATGATTTGTATTTTTCAAAATACTAATCTGATGTCTCATTTTAGCCATTGTGCTGGGAGTGAAAATAAATGTATGTGAAAAAAAAGTCTAATTACAAAGCAGATATTAGAAAACATTGTTTTGTCTGTCTGGCTGATGACCACTAGGAATGTGAAGGCTGCACAACAATGTAGAGACAAATAACAGATTGTAAGATCAGACATAGGAGCAGTCTTTGCTTTCTGATGTCTGTTCCTGTGCGTGTATTTCACATGTGCTGTGATGGGCAGGGTGTGTCATAGTGTGATGGAAACAGTTTGGAGAGACTGCATCTCATCCCAGCTATCTCTCAGCCTGTGGGTATCTCTGAGCTGGGAATTTGGGCTGTCATCCCTCTGGAGGTGCCTACCACAGGCTGCTGCTTGCAGAGATGAACCCGAGTAACAGCATTGTTTCTCCTTGCTGCTGCAGTTGAAGACTCTAAAATAGATACATCTGTAGTTTCTGCTATAGATTCTTGGCCCCACTCAAGTTTTTTTGAGTGATCAGAGGATACTTCTATGTCAGCAAGCAGCTCAGCCTAGTAGGAGCAGATCATCAGGTAAAACCTTGGCACCAAGTTCTCTGTGTTTACTCCACGTACACTTCACATTTTTTGCTTTGGGCTAGGTTTGTTCTGGACTTCTGCTCAAATGTTCCCAGTACTCACGTGGTACAAAGCCAAAAGACCAGTTATTATTTTGCACCCTTATGCTCCCATTAGGAACTGGAATATGGCTGGTGCAGATCTGGAGCAGAGCTTCTGGTTTACCTTGAATGCACACTAGTCCCAACCTACAGCCTAAAATAACATGGGGGAGGTGGCAGAGTTGCTTCAAAACAACAATATGGCTCTGAACCAAAATGCTGCCCTCGGCCTAGTTGGAGGCTGGCAAAATAAGAATTCCCCAGCACAGAGCTTGGGGATAAAAGAGTAAAAACCAACCCAGCAACCTTAGGGGGACTGGCCCTCTAACTCAGCCAGCAGGAATTTAAGACACTGTGCTGCTGTCCTGGCTGAAATGGGTATGCCCGGACAGAAAAGGGAAGCATCCACAAAATTAAATGTAGTAAGATGAAAATCCTTCCTCTTACTGCTGCAGATTTTGTCCACTACTGGTAGGGGCCATTAAAACTGTGATATAAATAGTTTGCCTGTCAGTATGAGTGTCACTGGTGTGTGGCCACTGACATGCCCAGTTCTGCCCAGACTTCGTGGCAGAATGAAGGCGAGGCACAGTTTGCAGACATTATTTCTGCTTCCATCTTCCCATGGGCCCAGCGTGTTGACAGAGGGGGACTGGGAACTGTGGCAGAGCTGCAGTGACACCATGTCCCCAGAAGGCTTGAGCACATTCAAAAACATGTTTGCACAGGTAAGATTACAGACTGAAGAAGTTTTCCGTGTTTACCTAGTGAAATTTGCCATTGAAAACAAAGTAAGAAAGGGATGATGAGGCATTAAATGTCTCTTTACTGTGTTGATGTAAACAGCTGGTTTGCAGCATCTATTTTAGTCAGAGTCTATTCTGAGCTTTTCTGAGGCGATTTCCTGATCACTGTTGGTAGGGCTTCCAATCTAAGTTTACAACTAAATGGGATGTTTTCTATAACACAAACTAAATACAGAATTTCTTTCAAATGTATAGATAAGCACAGTTGCACAGGCTTGGACTGTGCCTTTAACTGGCAGTGGTATCCCCTGTCATGTTTTTGGTAAGGCAGAGCTTCTCTCTGACCTCTTGCTTCTCATTGATGCAAGCCCACCTCCTCCTCTTTTAAACCCTGTCACACACTGTATGTTCCATCTTTGTGCCTTGATGAACGTTGAATACACAGTTATGTATAAAGAGATCAATTTTTACTCATTTTTGGCCCATAAAATCAGCTCTACAAAGGAAGTGTGTGGTGGCTGTTTATTGATGCTGTTCTGTGTTTCTGTATATTTGACAAATAGGGCTCCTTTTTTCCCTTGTAACCAGATTAAGAAGTGCAGTGGAATGTAAGCAGAAATGCTGGTATGTAATGTAATTATTATCTGTAGATGAACTCTAGAATTGGTTATTTCGCTGTACAGATCTTGGTCCTGGCTTTGCCTATATGAAAAAATTTAACCTGTATCAACTCTTTTATAGGAGGAGTAACAAATACTGCACAATATCAAAATAGACTCATGGTCTATGATCCTAAGCAGGTGAGTATCTGTGTGTTATATACGTTCCATTTTGCTTCAAGCAGATCTCTTGGCAAATACATACAAAGATTTTGTAAGGCTAAAAGTTAAAAGTGCTGACCACTTTAATTAGTGGTGTTTTAAATTCATTTTGTACTGAGTGATGGAGACCCTGACAATTTATGATGTCTTTTAAGCCTGTAGGAATTAGAAACATCCTAGATTAAATACAGAAATGTGCTTTAAATTCCCTGTATTTATCAGTATTTATTTTGCTTGTTCTTTTATTTTTTTTGTTTTGTAATCCTAGGCAATGTATACTCAAAGTCAGTGTTCCAAAACTGCTCCTTGTCATTGGCATTTCTGTTTTGAATTGCATATATGGGCCTTTTTGTTTCCTGAATACTTTGAGAACTGTACTACCTGGCCGTGACTTACTCTGCTGACTGCAAGGGTGCCTATCATTTCATTACCCAAGCACCTAAAATATCTTTTAGGGATTATTTCATACATAATGTATGTGTTTTGATTAGGTTAGCACAGCTCAGTAACCATTTCAGAGGGTTAGGGCATGGTTATGCCCTCTTGCTTGTATTAGGAATTAAAAGTCCTAAGCTTGCAATCAGAGTTACATAGCCTGATTTACACCCACGTGGAAGAGTATTGACTTTTCTGATTGTAGGATAGGGGCTTTGATTGCTGTATTTGGAACAAAATTGTGCCAGAAGATACTTCTCTGTGGTTCCCACTGACTATTTAAAGCATAGCACATACGGGGCCTGAAGCAGAAAGCAGGAGATGACACACCTGCCTCGTTCTTTTCGAGGTGCAGTTTTGTCATTGACTACAAATGCTGACTTGTCCTAAATCCAAGTAGCAGTTACAGGCAGCAATCTTACTTTGCTTGTGAGGGGCACACACATTTGGATACCCTGTCTCTATTGTGTACCTTTCTCTTGGGATTCTTCACTTACTGATGTGAAAGTTGCACCCCAAAATCCTGGTGCTGGGGCTGCCTCAGTGTGCCCTGCTGATGGCGAAAAACCCAGCCTGGCGCGTGAAGAGTTATGGAGGAATTGTGCACTTGCATTCTTCAAACGACGTCTGCTTCGTGTTTGTACACACAGGCTCTTTTTAAAAATTCTGCTGGCATATTGTTTACAGTGGGTACTGGAAACCATCACATCTGCTTGCATCTCGCACGGAATCTCAATAGCTCCATCATGGAGCCCCAGCGCCTGCTCCTGCGCGAGGCCTTTGTGGCGAGTCGATAATGCCTGCCATCTGCCACCGAGCACACAGCTACCTGCCAGCAAGCCGCTGCGCTGACCTCTGCCTCCCCACCACTGATTAGTATTCACACACTGCCTTATTAGAAATGACCCTGCCAGGCCCCTCTGTTTCGCTGCCTTTGCAGTGCTTTGAGGCTCACCTGGCAGGCACTGCAGTGGAGGAAGCTAAAGATATAATCAGGGGATGCAGGCAGGCTTTGCAAAGCAGATGGTGTCTACAGTCTGGTGTTAAGAGACTGGACTACTAATGCAAACATTAATGCCTAATATTCAACTATTACACATTGAGATGTATAGCTATATATTGTGGTGGTTAAAAGGCAGAAGGCTTAGACACTCTGGAGTTGCTGCACATGTATCACAGATTTTTAACTTCCTCCACTTAAATTAATCCCTTGCCAGGTTGCTTGATTTGGTAGGCATAGCAGGAGCAATTGTTTTCTCAGTTATAAAATACTTTGCTTTAATCCCTTGTCTTCCATGTCTTCCTGCCTCTCCCCTAAACAGGTAAAATTTTGAATATTGTTAATGAATAACAAAAATATGCAAAGGGTTGGAACTTTCTAAGTTGCCACAAATAAAGGGTTGACATTAAACCAAATGAATCATTTGAGAAGATTCTTTAGGAAATTATTTTTCCTGTTGCTTTATTCCCCAAGGATAAGATCAAATAAGCTTCTGAATAACAAAAGGCAGAAGAATCTCTCTTCTCACATAACAGAGCTCATTGGTATAGATAATTTTAGCACTGTATACAAAGGAGACATTTAATAGTCTGGTTTAAGGAGAATTTGCTACTGAGTTATAAAGAGGAAAAAAAAAGACCTTTGAAACCTGATGAGTAGACAAAAAAAAAAAAAAATAGAGGAAGAAATGTCATTAAATTAATGAACTATATATAATGTGAGAACTATAAGCCATGTGTTGAAAGTCCACTATCCTTATTCAGTGATACAACCAACACACAAGTCTAGTATATGACCAGAACCAGTATTTGCACTTGTGGTTCCTGACCAAGGGTATGAAGAAACCAGTACCGTGCTACTGTTCATTGCACTGCCACTGTAGGTGTGCCTTTGAGCAGTGCTTAGACAAGCTCTCTCTTTGCAGAATAAGTGGTTAAGCCGTAGCCCGATGCTGCAGAGGAGAGTGTATCACTCCATGGCCGCTGTCCAAAGGAAGCTGTACGTGTTAGGTGGGAACGACCTCGACTACAACAACGATCGCATCCTGGTCCGTCACATCGACTCCTACAGCATAGACGCCGACCAGTGGACCCGCTGCAGCTTCAACATGCTGACAGGTGAGTGTTGTACAAAAAGGGAGCTCACTACTGTTGAACTGAAACATCTTTTCCCTTTAGATGCCTTAGTATGTGGAACTCCATGACTTTGCGACAAGTGCTTCCAATTTAGGGACCACCGTCAGCCAAGAAGACACTTTTCATTACAGTTCTGGCATTCGGTGGTCTACAAAATATTTGTTTTCATACATTGCACATTAAATTTTGAAGAAGGTGCAGATAAGTTTCATTTAATTAGGCAGTCAAAAATAATTTGTCATAATATTACCAGTACTGTTTTTTCATTCTCCAAAAGCTTGCCTGTGGTATTGGTTTAGCTCCCTGTGTGAGTGTACAGTAGACTGATGTGTCTTTACCACGTAGCGTTGTTTTGTAGTGGTTTCTGCTGGCATTATAGGGCAAAGCTTTCATTGAAATCTGTTAACTCTTGCTTATGTCTAAATAGTATCTTCTTAATAAATTACCCAAAAGGACATGTCCTTGTTGGAATTCCATCAAGTCAGAAATTAATTGAGCACTTAGTTAACCACAGGATCTGTAAAGTTCTTCTTCACTTATTAGGAAGAACTGTTACAACTGGAACTTGGAAAACACTACAGCTCACTGTCCCTGACACCCAGTCCACCAAAGTTCACCTCCACCTGATAAAATTCCCAGATTTAGTATCCCTTTGAATCCCAGGGAGACACACAGAATCATAGAATGGTTTGGGTTGGAAGGCACCTTAAAGATCATCTAGTTCCCACCCTCTGCCATGGGCAGGGACACCTCCCACTAGACCCATGTTGCTCAAAGCCCCATCCAACCTTGAGCACTTTCTGGGATTGGGCATCCACAACTTCTCTGAGCAGCCTCACCACCCTCACAGTAAAGACTTTCTTCCTAATACCTAATCTAAACCTACTCACTTCCAGCTTGAAGCCAATCCTCCTTGTCCTGTCACTACATGCCCTTTTAAAAGTCCCTCTCCAGCTTTCTGATAGGCTCTCTGCTGGTAGTGGAAGGCCACAATTAGGTCACGCTGAAGCATTCTCTTCTTCAGGCTGAACAGACCCCAATCCTATCAGCCTTTCATCCTAGGAGAAGTGCTCCATCTCTCTAATCAACTTGGTGGCCTCCTCTGGACTTGCTCCAACAGGTCACTATCCTTCCTGTAGTGAGGTCCCCAGAGCTGGGAACAGCACTGCAGGTGGGGTCTCAGCAGAATGGAGCAGAGGGGCAGAATCACCTCCCTGAACCGGTTGGCCACACTTCCAGATAGGCATGTGACGCATTCTTAGAGAAGCACCAACAGTAGGGCTGCTTGGTTTCCAAGTCAGGCCATCAGAGTACTTGCTGGACACTAGTGAGAGAGGTACAGATTAAAAAGGAATTGCACATGGTCAAACAGAACTAGTTTTTCATGTGTCTTTTGCTCACTAGTTAATTATTGTATTATGTGGAGGAACTGGCAGCCTTTGAGAAGGATGTAATCTGATTTGCAGCTGCAGGTGCCCTTCTCATTCTGGAGCTGACCCTGTCCCACTGAATGCTGTGAAGCAGCCTCCTCTCCAGTGCCTCCAGGTTGTTTCTACAACCCGTGCCTTAAGCAGCTACCTAAGCCTTTCTTTCTGTCAGTACAATTGGCAGTAAATGTGCCTGGTGAACTGTGTAGTGCAGATTTTTTTAGGCTTTATTTTTCCTTCAAAACTTCCAAACTTGTTGGGAGACGGTTGCTATGGGGATGAACTTGCGCAGCAGCTCCTGTGATTTTCATCGTACTTGTACCTGGAGGAGTGGGGCTGAACAGGCGTGGGCAGCACGGGAGGGGCACTCGGGGCTCTCAGCCTGTTTGGTTGTTCGTGTCTGATGGAGGCTGAGGGGCAGGTGGGGACCGTGTCTGTCCCCTGAGACACACATGAGGAGGGAGAGGATGGTCCCCTGCACAGCACATTAATGTTCATCTGGGCAGCACCAGGCAGGGCTCCTGCAAAGAGAAGGAACTGCTCCCCCACACCTCGCCTTCCCTCTGACACGTTGGGAATTCTGAAACAGTCACGTCACTGCTAGAAGTGTTTGCATCCCATTACAGAACTCCAGCATTTGGTGTTAAAAGGGTTAATTAAACACTGAAAGTGGTTTCTATTTCCTTTTTTGCTTTAGGTCAAAATGAGTCTGGAGTTGCTGTCCACAATGGTAGAATATATTTAGTTGGTGGCTATTCGATTTGGACAAATGAGCCTTTGGCATGCATCCAGGTGAGCGATTTAGGTTTCTTTGAAAGTCTTTTCCAATAATCTTGCAAGTATAAGTTTTGCACAGTTGTTATTAAAAAAGGAAAATACATGTGAAGAGGAGAGATTAAGGACATTTCTTATGCAGCCACTGAACCTGCATAAACAGAGAGGAAATACTGTAGAAATTAAAAGTATTTCCAGATGAGCCAATAGATGAAATTCCTCTAAGATATTCCAGTAAACCAGGGGTGAATTGTCTTTCCTTTGGCAAGGTTTGGATAAAATAATATGTATATATTCAGCAGTTACACTATCAAGTTCAAAAGTAAAAGGGTTGCAGAAATGGATGATGTGGCTAAGAATTTTTCAGCCCATATTGGGATTTTTCTTTTCTTTCCGAGCTGTGTTTCTGAAGGGCAGCCAGAGTTAATGAGTGGTTCATTGACCAGGTGCAGTCAGCCTACTCCCTGCCCTACTGCTTATTGCTTTAGAGCTTCAATGGAAGTTTTTTGATCCCTGCCCTAGGCAATAGGTTGTCCAACAAACTCTTCTGCTCTCCCATATTTTATAAATGCAGCTCACCCACAGATCCATGGCTTTCAGGTAGTTTGGTACAGAAATTAGGAATTCTTATCTTTCTGCATGTTTCTGAGGGAAGAAGTTCTACATCACAGCCACTGCTTTGTCACCAGCTGAGCAGTTAAAGGCAGAAAGTCCTGTTTATATCTCAGTTTCTGCACTTTTGTTGATAAACAACCTTTTTATTAGCTTCCAACTTTTTGGATTTTAGAATTTCACCTCTAAACTCTCCCATAAGACTAGAAGTTAGGCTTAGCATAGGAAGGGGGTACATTAGGTTGCCAAATTGCTGGTCTTATATAGAACATTTAGTAGCATGAATTTGTAAAGTGTAAGATAATGCAAGATAAACAGTTAAAAACATGTTCTGGTCATTAGCGTAATTGTGTTTTAGCAAGTTGTTGGATACCATACCAAAAAAATTATTGGAAAAAGTCATTCAGTCTGGCTTGGATATAGCTGACATGCTTAGATGGAGTAATAGCAGCTGTGCTCCACCAGTGGGCTCATTTATAATCAACAGGTACTCTGCAGTGTTGCACCTGGGTTTTAATAGAGCTTAGTGACAAGCAAAAATAATCCTGGGATCTTGCTTTCTTAAATGGACATTTGTCCATATCCCCAGACTGGTCATGAACTGGCAGCCTGCCTGACACAGTCCCGACATAAAAGGGAAAAGAAATATATTGAGTGATTTGGCAGAGCTGTGTGTGCTGTCCCTCCTCAGCTGTTGGCAGTGTGCCTGGCTTTAACCATCAAAACTAGCCCTTTTATCTTCCAGTTGAGGAAATCTGAGGTTACTCTCTCCTTTGGAAGAAAAAATTCCACTTTTTCTTTAAATGTCTTTACTTACTTTAAATCAGCCATTTATTTGGCATTCCCATCTTCCATAGAGCTTCTGTGTCCACTAAATACCTTGGAGCTGACAAATGATTTGTGTTCTGTGCTAACAGGAGCCCTTCTGTGCAGAGTAACCCACTTGCACGGCTGCATATTCTCCTGCCAGGAAAGCAGGATCCAATGTCATTGTTTGCTCCCAAGTGCCTGGGCACTCAGGTTTTGGGTTGGGTCTGAGAACAGCAAATGGATCACCAGATCCATAAATGATCTAAAAATTACCTTAAGCTACCTTTTCCTCTGGGATTAATAGTAAATACGTGAGGTGGGTGCCAGCAAATTTGTTTCAGCTTTCTTCTGTGATCCCAAAAATATTTTGTATGCTTTGCCATGCAGGTGCTGGATGTTAGCAAGGAGGGGAAGGAAGAGGTATTCTATGGGCCCACACTCCCCTTTGCTTCCAATGGAATAGCAGCCTGCTTTCTTCCAGCTCCTTATTTCACGTGTCCCAACCTTCAGACTCTGCAAGTGCCTCACCACAGGATCGGCACAATGTGACACGTTCCTTGTGCTTCACGGAATCGGAAGTGGAGGAGGAAAACATCAAACCCTGTGTATAGAAGGGTTTCTCTGGGTCAGTGAGAAGAATCAATCCACTTGGGCTGCTGCTTTACCATCACACATTTGTCTTAAAGTCAGATCACAGCAGGCAGGGAGGAAGATCCAAAGCCTGCGTGCGGTTTCTCTCCTCAGCCTCAGACGCAGAAGCAGATACGTGAGCGCGTTGTGCATTTCTGCCGGTGGCCACTTGCTACGTGTCTTCTTCATTTCCTTATGCAACTTTGCCAGCCATTGTGGATGCTCTCAGCTCTTCCTGGGCCGCTGCTCTTTGGAGTCTGCACATTCAGTTGTTCACCAGTGGTACTTTCAAAGACAATAAAAATGCTCTGTTTATGTTGACAAAGATTATACAATACTGTGCTAATTATGCAACTTACTCAATACCTTTGGCAAAAAGAATAACAAATGTGTTGACTTCCAATTCCGAACTCCATCGTTTACAGTTTCTCATTTAATAATACTTCATTTGAAATTTAAATACTTCAAAACAGATTAAAACAAAAACAAAAAAAACCAAACAAGCCCTATAGGATATGAAGAACAGATAAAAATTGTCTCAGCTGAAAGGCAAAGAAAATGAAGCCTCACGGTTAAACTCAAGTCTGAACTGAATGTGTTTGTCTGAGAATCTAAAGATTGTTTGGGATGTCATTTACCAAGGTCTACTACCAAATAAATGTTACCTTCTGTCATATGATCAATTCTTCCTGACAGCTGCAGTCTTTTAGTGGTGGAGATCAGCCTCTTTACTGTATAATTAAAATGTGCCATTTACTTAATATTTTTAATATCCAGTTTGCAAGGGGTCACCACATTTACAATTATCAGTGAACAGTCTCATTTTGTCCAACATATGGTCCCACAAATCACTAGTCTCCAGAGGCTAAACAGGTGTAGAACAATGTCAATATTTATTTATTTATTCTTTCATTTTATATAGCGTGTCTCCATTCCACTCTCCAGGCATATGCCAGCTCACAGCAAATACTCTAACCTGGTGTATTTTGGCTTTGCTTGGCTAAGGCAGTCCCTGTCTCTTATCTCTGTCTTTTATTTATATATTGAACAAAAATGTCAATGTTTGTAAATATTAACCAAGCATGTAATTAAATCTTTCTCTATTTCTGATTTATGGATACTCTTCACTTCTCTGTCTTACCTACTGATCAGCTCCCTGCCACTGTGCTGCCTGAGCAGACCTATCAAATTCCTGCTGATGCTCCTGCTAATGCCACATGTGGAACGTGCTGCAGCAGTAGCCTGTGCCTGCTGGACGGGAACAGGTTTACTTCGTCCAGTGAGCAGCACTTTCTAATCAAAACTATCTTTTAACTTTTAAGGGTCTGATGACAGGGAGGTAACTTTATTATCATTTCTGTCTCCTGCTGGGCAGTGTATTGGTGGAACATCACCTTTCCTTTTCCATACTTATCAGGTTAGAATGTTTTATGGTCAGGGGTTTTGGTTGTTTTGTTTTTGTTTTTTTTTTTCTGAGCTTTCTCACTTTCCTTGCCTCAAGCTGAGCTGCAGCTGCACAGTCTTTGCCTGGCACACTGGCTCAAGTTGCTAACACCATCTCCCTCTGTGCACCAAGCATGCCTATATCTAGGCAGGACTTTTCTCTATGCTGCATGGGAGCTGAATAGGCTCTACATCAAGGCATATTTTAATTTATTGGTTTAATTTGTTTGATCTCCTGGAATTCTGCATGTAAGGGACAGCTCTCTGAACAGCCCATTTACAGAAATTGTTTTCCTGTGTGGGCTGCAGGGTCCAAGCCAGGCAAGTACACAAACTTTGACTTAGATGTGGCTTTCAGGGACACAGAGAACATGTGTCATTTTCAAGAGGAGGGTGGCTACAATAATAAAAACTTATGCAAGAGCTTTGAGTCTCATCCCAGAGCTGCCACACCAGGTGAGTGATCTGGTTTTGTTCTGGGGGCAGAACTGTCACTTCCTGTTTGTAAAGCCCAGGGTACTTCTGGACAATTGTGCAAAGTGTGTTTTCTATGTCTCAGCTTAGTTTGAACACTTTTATTCCTAGGTCTCATAGCTTACCACAGCTGTAGCTATGGAATCGTTTAAACTGCTGCTTTTGGAGAGCAGGGGGAGGGATTAGGATGGATCACTGCTGAGCAGTGGCAGAAAGTGGCAGCAGTGGTCTGAGTTTGAGAAGCAGAGGGGAGCAGTTTCCTTATGCAAAGCAGCATGTGCCTCTTGTTTCAAGGTCTGAAAGGCAAGAAAGTTGTTTATCATGTTTGCTCTGCCCTTTAGACACTTCTACTGCTCTGCTAGTTGTCACCAATTGTCTGCACTGTGAATGGCAGTTTTAAACAGCTGTGCAGTTGCTTTATATTGGTCAGGGGTACCTCTGCCACAGAGCCTCAGGACAACACATATGCTCCTATTAGTGTCAGGATCCTGCTCTGGCTTTTAATCATCAGGCTCCACTGATTACAGAGGTCTTTCACAGCAACCTCTTGGTCATTTAAGGTTTTGTGTCACACTTTCCTATCTGGGTTTTTCTGCTTTTGTTGCAGGACCTACAGGCCAGATGGCGGGTGCTTTGCTGCACCTGAAGTCAGAAAATGCCTCATAGCCCTTGCCAGATGAGCAAAACCCTGTTAATTACTGCCAGGTAAGAAAAGGGAGGAGTGTGGATGCAAGAGCAGACAGAGAGCACCCTGCCGTGTCTGAGGGGTCTCAGCTGGAAGGAGCGAGGATGGGAGAGCAAGGCTGGCTTCATCTGCCACCTGCAGCTGTGCAGGATTCCTGCAAAGGCTGCCTAGTGAGCTGAAATTTCTGAATCACCATGTCCTTGCTCTGCCGTCCTTCCATTGAATGTCTCTGGCTTCTAAAACTACCATGATTGCAGAATCCTGTGTGTGACCTCCTGATCCACCTGTGATGTTCTAAATTTTGTACTATTTTGGGCAGACATACAACTCTGAATCCAACCTTTGTCTCTACCCAGCCTACTGGTTTTGGTATGTACCTCTGACACAGTTTAGCTCAGTTTTTCCACACAGCCTTAAAGCTGCCCAGAACAAAAATATTATTTCTCTGCTTGCTGGTTCTGTTGCCAGAGTCTGATCATCACAGTGGGAGAGCAGATGCCAGCACAAGTCATTTATCCAGGTGGGAGTGTGCAAGGTAAGGGGACAAGTTTGCAACCAGTGAGAACTCAATACTGCTTCAGGGAAAGAGGTGTTCCTACCAGTGAATAATGCAGCAGTCACTGACTGTCCTGTTAGGAAGAGAGTGCCCTGTATTCCTTAGATTTACACATTAAGGCTATTTATATCTGCAGCTAAGACTTTTGGCCCACAAGACCCAAAAGTATTGAAGACCTGTTCTCTGATCTTTTTCAGGCCACTCCCATAAAGAATAATATTCTATCTGTTATATAACTTTAATTAAAGTATATAAATATGTACTTTACCTTTGAGTCCTAAAATGTGTTACCAGCTTTTAGCTATAAATAATCACAAGTGAATCAGCTACTTTCTGCTTTTAATCCATAAAATGCCAATTTTCACAAGCAGCAGCAGCACCAACAGCCTCTTCTGCCACTTTGGTGTCTCTTAAGCATTTCACACCCAAGCGCTGACTAAAGAAACACTTCCATTATGAGCCAGTGTGCAGCAATTCTGCTTCTGTACAGTAATGGTTTTGTAATCCTTTGACTTCTAGTTGTGGCTTATGATTTTCTTCTTAGTTTAGCAGATTTTGAGCCAAGTTCCTAATTCTAAGAAGAGCTAAAACTTCTGTAACTCTTTTTCATCTAAATTTTGCCTTCCCCAGTTACCCTCCCCCAAACCTGTACAGACATTTAGTACATAAGTTGCAGAATCGTGGAGAAACAGATAATTGAATATTCACACATGCAGAAACAACCCAGGCAGAATGTGGAACAATGTGGAAACAGGCGCGAAAAGAGGCGGCATCTGTTTATTGAAAATTAAAATGTAGAATAAATTAAGAGGGCAAGGTTAAAACACTTCATCTGCAGACAGAGTTTGTAGGGGAGGAAGACTGCAGAAAGTTTAGCACGTAAGACTGTGTATAAAGGACTTATGCAGTTCTATTTTTGCAAAATGAGGGGTTTTCTTCTCCCCCAAGGACACGTTACAAAGGGATAGTGTCCACATAAAGAATGGTTTTCCAATAGAGATGATTGTATATAGCAGTTTCACAGTAATGCCAGAATTAAAATGCTTAAAACATTAATGTTGCAATGCTTCAAGTACTTAAGAACAGAGTATTTTTAGCAACATCCTCAATTCCTGTAAGTAAATGCTGTGCTAACTCTCCACCGGTGCCCTATGCAGGTCATGCTGGGCCTTTCCAAACCAAATAATTAATTTAGCCAATTTGCATTTTTAATGCCTGTTTTGGTGTCATTCTGCAGGGAGAAGGGTAGAG